GGGGGGGGGGGGGGGGGGGGGGTGAATCTTTTCACCCTCCTGCACTGGGCTCATATGCCGTCTCAAGCCGGCATGACTGTAGTAAGTTGGGTCCTTGCTGGATGCAATTGTACATATATATTTGTACTTGAAACCTGAAACCGAACAAGGATTAAACATGATCATGTTCAATATAGCCCCAACAGGGAGCCAGTAAATGCTAGCCATTCGTTCGGACTGCATCTGACAAGCAGCGAGCAAGGCGCCCAGTGCCCGCAAGACTCTTTCCAGTAGAAATGAGAGTTAGGCTTTTAGGGTTCAGGGTTTAGGGGTTAAGGTTTAAGGGTTTGGGTTTAGGGGTTTAGGCCTTTAGGGTTCAGGGTTTAGGGTTTAGGGCAGTTAGGCTTTGACCTTCGGAGATGTGCGATTGTGTTTGCTGAGAGGTCTACCTAGCCCATATTGTTTTGTCATTGCGGTCCTAACCCAAGAGTAGGACGAGCAAGAAACACATGAACATGTTTGCACAAAAGTGTTCCTTTCGATGTATACGCCCTTGCCACATTCGCAGCAGCTGTGTCTTCCTAAGTTCGGCGGGTTCGAAAGGATCCAATCTGAGATTTCTGGATTTTGCGGGGCCGGGGCTTTAGTCTGTGCAGGATGGAAGGTCCTGGCTACCTGCTTGGATGACTAGTTCTCGGGTTCATTGTAAGGGACCCATGAGAAATGACAGAGGTGATGCTTTGATAGCCTTACTTGAGTGTGTGCACCAGCCCGGTCACAAATAGCATGAAGACTCTGCCTCCGGGACTGACTGCTTCCCACGCCTGCAACCAAGACTAATTATGACCACGTCGACTGGATCCGGTAAGCTGGAACCTGCCAGACTACGGCCCTGCAATTCCCCACAGGTCTTCCATGATTTTTCAGGTTATCATAATCCGCACATTCGTTTAAACTGGACTGATTATGCTTGCCTAGACTCTAAATATCATATTTGTTCAAATTGTGGTAAGTGTTTTATCCGGTCTAAACCCTAAACACTATAAACCCTAATTGCTGGAATCACTGCAAGCTGTTGAGGCTGGCGAATCGGAGAAAGTCTCGTCTACCTCGGCCAAGCAAGGGAATCGGAAGATGGTCATAGGCCTGGGGTTTACGGTTTAGGGCTTTATTGAGGGAGCCGTGCGTGCTGTGGTCGAGCGCGCATTGGTGCCGTCTCGGAGATTTTCTGGTCTGGCTTTATTCTTTTGCTAATTTCCGGATACACTACATAGGACCCAGAATACCTCTACCAGGGTTGTGTCCAATCTTCAACATAGGACCTCTGCATTGTGGTCTTTAGCCAGCAAGGAAACTGCATCCCTGTGCGTCTTCCTTTTCCCCTGATGCGATCTCTAAACGCCGAACTGAAAACTACGTGGTATTCGGGCTTTGCGGAGTTGGCAAGGTACAGCTGATTGAGGCACCTCAGTTGTGTTTCGTTAAAGATGTGCGAAAGGCTTGCCGGGGTGACCTGCAGTATGCCAGACTACGTGGTTAGTCACATGGGAGTAGTAGTAAGCTTTGATACCTACTATTCTGCGCAGGAATCGGATGTGGTATGCGTCGATTCGTTTGAGGTTCTTCTCAGTTCGGGTTAGGGAGTCAAGGCCATAAATCAGTGTAGGTATGAACACACTCTGAAAGATTCTTGGTTTGGCGCGGCGTGACAATGAGCTATTCCAGACTAATCTTAGATTCGTATATGCGGTTTCTGTTCGGGAGGGTTTAGATTTTAGGATACCCTGGTACCACTGTGCTTGGGATACTTGAAGGGGCTGGCGATTTCAGTCAAAAAAAGGAAGTCCCAGTGTTGCTTGCCCGGATTTGGGCACTGATGATACCAGCTGTTCTAGGGAACCCCAACTCAAGTGTCGCAAGAACATCCACTTTTGCTTTCTAATCATGGTAGTTTTCCGGCTTTCGCACCAGGCAGCACAGCAGTTTTGAGGCCCTGCATCCTCGACACTGCAGCTAAGAGCTGCGGCGCTAAGCGTGACCTGTACCCAAAACCAGCCCGTGGGAGGCTCGCAGCGGGCATGAGCTGTGTCGACCTTCGGCGGCAAGATTGAGGGTTGGGAGTTTATCTCGCTACTTAACCCGTCTCAGTGCCTCGATTTCAGATGAAAAGGAGCTCAAAACACAGAACAGGCCGCTCGCATACAGACCTAACTACGATTTAGCATCCAGACCTACCACTTAGATGCGTAGGCACGAAGCGACAAATCCACTCTCAGAAGCATCGAAGAGCCCCTGCAGCCCTAGACCAAGATCCCACGGCGTAAGCCCGACGTGAAGGTTCATGGATAGCTGTACGTCAGGCTCTAAATTACAACTGCATACCTCTTGTTACATAGCTTATTCATGAATCCTAAACCCTAAACCCTAAACCCTAAACCCTAAACCCTAAACCCTAAACCCTATCATGAACTGTCGAAGATCTCTGGTTGGCCAAGTAATTTCAGGAGAGGCACAGGGCTGAGACGTGTGGGTCTTTTAGGTTCACTTGCGAAGATGCGTGCCGAAGGTTCTTTTGAGTTTCCTTCTGTGGATTCCGGGATTTAGGGTGTGGGTCTTTGTGACGGAGTTAGGCTCAAGGGCGTGGGGATTCGGTGGCCTTAGGATTGTGGTTGCGGCTGCTAATGTGAGCTAGGGATTGGTTAGCTACTTCCTGGGATTGCCTCTGATCCTCAAGGAGCCTTAGCAGTTAAATTAAGGAGACATGGGAAGACTGACTCAAAACATGTTGGGCTTACCACTCTGAGGTGACCCCAGAAACAACCCCGAGACGACAGCATAAGTCGGTGTGCTTCTGGCCTGTATCGCTTTGCCGAAAAAGGGCTTTGTTGCTTCATCCTCAGCCAGCACTGCTGTCATCCACAGGTTGGGGGGGCATACATACGACGATGCTGAAACAGCGCAGGAATGCCTGAAAGGACCAAGCCTCAGAAACCCGAACACTGTAACACGAAGCATCCTACACGGCCCTACTCCCCAAATCACAAGGCCACCTTTTCACACCCCATGCCCTAGATCCCGGGAATCCTTCTGCCCTTAGCAACCTCCCCTTCCCTACTAATATAGGGGCCTCAAAAATTACCGATACTAAATTTTGGGGATTCCTAACTATAACTAGAGTATAGTATACCCCAAAACCCTATTCTAATTATTATGACCACCCCCAGTAAAGATCCCCAAATATGGCCCACCTCCAAAACCTTTATAGACCCCTCGTAAAGCCCGAATATGCCTCCCTGTACACCTTGCCAAAAGCCCGGGGAACTGAAGCTTTGCAAAGGTCGCCGGTCCCACGGGCCCTAAGGAGGGCGGCGCGCCAGAGCCTTTCAGTCAGACGTTTGCGGCGTCTGGGGTTTCAGATGCTTTGGTTGAGGGCTATAGGCTTATGGGTGCATATCCCAGCGTACGGCATCACAAGATGCGATGTACAGTAGGCTTTAGCCAGCTCTGTTGCTTGACAAGATGTGTACCGTAAATGAGTGTACGTGTGGTGTTTGCAGCCGGCTTGGAAGAATGCTGCGATAACATGTTTCATGACAAGTCAGTGACTTGCATCTTGCCCGTTCAGCCACATCGGCTCGAAAGCAAATCCTGCAGGAGTCAGGAGCGTGCCGTTGCTTGCACCGATCCGTACATGGCATACATGGCTTGGCTGATGCTGACCTGGGTTCTGATGCTGTGTCCCACTTCGGCATTTCGCAGTGAGCTCGAGTCAAGCGAGGAGCTCCCGAGCGAACTTTCGACCCTCACCTCTGGCTTAAAAGCGGCATCCTGCCGCGGGCAAGTGGAAGGCTTGATGGTCGATTTGCTGCGTGTTTGTGAACAGCGGAGAGCCCACCAATGCCCAGACGGGCTTCAAAAACTCTTCACCAAAGGTGCCGTTGTTTACTGGATGGATCAAACGGTCAAGTTGCAGAAAGATGCAGTGTTGTGGGCCGGCTTCTGGAATGGTGGCCAGGCGGGCCGCACAACCAAGGACGACCTCTTTCGGTTTGTGAGGCTGATGGGCATGCAAACCGTCCACCCGGACACAGGGCTGGGAAAGCTTGTGGAGAAGAACAATGATTTAACATCGTGCCAGGACGAGAACATTGTGAACAATTTTTGGAAGTCCGCAAGCAGTGCTTTCATCAAGCAAATGGCAATTAAAGGACAGAGCAAGCTGCTTGTTCTCGTGAACAAAGCAATTGACCAGACAGCCTTTGGTCTCCTCAACTCTGTGCTGTACAAATACGAGTTACCCTGGGTTAGATTTCAACATTCACAAAAATCCAGAAATTGGCATCCTCAAGTTCTGTTCGTGGACATGCGTGCTAACTGCCACAACCTGGAAAAGGCAGTTGCTGTTGTGCTGAAGACTGTACCATTTGAGTGCATCGAGTGCAACGAGGCGTGCGGATTGGATGAGACTTTGCGGGCAAGGGTACAGCAGAACCTCTAGATATCCTTCACCTCGGTGCAATGCCCTGTGACGTGGGTGGCGGTGATGGTTCATGAATGTTTAGTGACAATCTAGCAACTTAAAGTGAAATCTGCGGCTTTTGGTGGCTGTTCGGGAAATGCCATTTTGCTTGAAGCATCCCTAGCCGGCTTGAAAAAGGTTGCGGCAGCAACAGGATTGAGATTCATGTTTGCCTGGCAGCTTAGCAAGTTCAACACATGCAAGGACTCTATGTATCTGTGTGGGCTGCTCTCGGGTTTGTTTTTCAGGGTGCGGCTTTGCTGGGGAGTTTCGAGCATTTGAGGTCTCTGCGCTGTCGGGACATCGAAGCTTTGATTTCTGCAGGTAGGCTTTGGGGGTGTGAGAGTTTGGAAGGTCTGAAAAGTGTTTTTATTTATTATGCTTTCAATCCGCACAACCCTAAACCCCCTAGCCCTAAAGCCATAAACCCCTAAACCCTCAACCCTCAAACCCTAAACCCCTAAACCCTATCACTGGAGGGCGGCCGGACCGCCAAGGCAAAGGAGGTCGTGCGAAGGCTCTGTTTCAAACTTTCTTCATGTCTAAAACCACAGGTGTCGCCATTGTAAATAAAAAAGGAATGGGGTTGTGGGGGTTCCTTTAAAGGACCCTATAAGGGCTACTGTAAGGGTTTATGGTTTAGGTGCCTTCATAATTAGATGGGGTTTCGGGGCCCATTATACTATAATGAAAATAAGGAAGCCCCAAAATGGTATAGGAAACTATTTAGGCCCACTTGCTGGCCTGGCCCCGACGGCCACGGAGGTAGTATAAAATATGTATGTTTTGACCTTGAAAATCCGCATGTTAAGAAATCGTGGCCGCAGTGGTTTCGGAGGTTTTCTAGGGACACATGGACTGGGGGATCTAGGGCTTGCCTGGTCTAGGGTTTGGGGGTTTTTAGGAAGGTGGGGGGGTGTTGGAGTCGTGGGTTCAAGGGCTTCAGGGCTGTAGCATACCTGCAGTCCTCGAGAAGGGCGCTTGTGCAGCAAAACTTTCACACCTATAGGTTCCCTAAGGTCTAGAATGTTCCCAATATCAAGCACTGTGCAGCCGGGCTCGGCTATAGGATTTCACAGGAATGTCATAGGGTGCTTGCATAACTCACGGGGCTTCTTGAGAGGCTTTGAATGGGCTTTCACAAGCTTGCTTGAACAGATCATGGGCAAGCTATATGCAGTTCGACCCTTGATTCTTCCCGATCTGCTTCTGGGCATTTAAGTCCCGACAGTTCAGGCTCCAGGGCTCGAGGACTCAGACTAATTACTGTTGAAAGGTCGATTGCAGTGCTTTTTCCTGGCCACAGTGTCGCGATCGTGGTGGCGGGAACCCCAGATGTGGCGGGGTGTCACAAATGAAACCATTGTGCTGGAATCGCAGATTTCATCATGATAGGCACATGGGAGGGATCTGAGTGTTGCCCTTGTAAACCCTTCCATGTCTCGCATCAAGTACATGTTGGTGCCGAGCCTCCACGGCAGACGCTAGAAAGTTGAAAGTAAGCACACCTCGGCATTTTCTGGTAGTTCTGCGGCAGGCTCATCCGTTCCTGGGATGTAGGCATCGTAGTAGTTCCTTGTTTCAGGACCGTGTTCAGGATCACAAACCATCATGATCAGCAATACGGAAGACTGAAATCATAGTACCCTCCCCGAGCTGAGTCCACAAAATGTAAGGTTAGAAGCATGCGCCCCTACTATGGACCCTTGGGCCTTTCTAGGGACCCTTAAGGGTACACAAAAGGCTATGTAGTAGGTGTATAAGGATCCCAGGGTTAGGGGCCCATACTAGGTGCCCATGGGTTCAACTTTAGACAACCCTAAACCCTCAAACCCTAAACCCTCAAACCCTAAACCCTAAACCCTAAAGCCTAAACCCCTAAACCACAAACCGTAGACGCAGAGGCCTCAGAGGAGTTGGCGAGGCCCGGCGAAGTGCGGGCCTGCCGGGCCCTTTAGTGGTTCTTTGGGTTTTTGTTTTAGAGTGGTGGGCTTTGTTGTTTTGGGGAGGATTTGAGGGTGTTTAGGATTGAGGGTTGAGGGTTTAGGGTCTGGGGTTTCGGGTTTTGGGGTTTCTGGTTCGGGGTTTAGGGTGGGAGGTTTAGGGTTCGGGCTTTAGGGCGGAAGGTCCACACCAAACTCAGCACCCTTTTTCCTGCGTGCCAACGCTTGAACTCACGACAACCAGCTATGCTGCGTTCAAGGAATGTGCTCCAACAAAACTTGCATGGACATTCATACTCAATATTCGACCTTCAACACTACCTAAACCCTAAACTCTAAACCCTTAGACAACGCGGACCAGTGTTCTCCCGAATCCGGGATTGTAGCCGCGACCAGCGGTCGTAAAAAAGAAACCGTTTACAAAAAGGAGCCTGGTTTTTGTTGTAGAGGCTTGGGGCTAGGATTTTTCTGGCGACGGTAGGTATCGCTTTTGAGCTTGTTTAAGTATCATTTAAGTATATAAGGCCTTGGGCCTCCAGGGTTACTGGGTTCTTGTTAAGGGATTTAATTTAAGTTACCATAATAAGGAAACCATATTATTTACTATAGATCCCTATGATGGTAACTTAAATTGAATCCCTTAACAAGAACCCAGGTTAGTCTCACCCAGGTCCGGCTGTTTGTGCCATGGAGATCTGCGAGACTATCCGGGCCCGTCCGGAGAAGGCGGGCTCCACCCAACGATTTGGGGGTTTCCGAGAATAGGGGACCCTAACATAGTACCCTAAGTAATAGGATCCTTAATATAAGGACCCCAAAATAAGGTACCCCTTAGTTGCGGAAACTCCCATTTGAGTTTGGGGCCTAGTGCCCTAAACTTGGAACCCGGGTTTAGGATGATTCCTGCTAGGATCCGTGACATTTGACTTGAAGGGCATGAGGACTATAGTGTTCCAACTTTACGGCTGTTACTATATGGCTCGAGATGTACAACGTGACAACAGACTACAGCTTACTAAACTTCGTGATCGCTCTACCAATCAGCCCCGACACCATAAGGGTAAAGGTCCCTGTTTGAGTATGATTCCAATGACTTATGCAAGGCACCAACCCCACCGCGCAGTTTCAAGGATACTTCCCCGAAAAATCTACCATAGGTGCCCATGGGCCTACAACTAGGCGTACGGTGCAGTCTTCGGCCTCCGTTTGTGGACTTTCAACGTTTGGGGCTAGCTGCTGCGATTAGCGTAGAGCTTCGAATCTTGTGTTGGGGGGTTGGGGTGAAATTGAGGGTTTGTGTCCAGGGTTTTCATTGGACTCTAAAGTTTCGGGTTGGGTTTGCGGGCGGACGACCACTTTGACAAGTCATTGCGGTAGAAAGCAATTCGCCAGCTGACTGCGAGCTTCAACTGCAACCAACTGCACATACAACTGAACCTTGCAAGGACTGAATCTGCACCTGTGCATCTGGATCCGGTTGTATTGCTGTGTGGAAAACGGAGATGATCCTTGCAACCACGGTTTACTGCTAAGTGCTTGTGAAGCCTTGCTTCATGCATGCGCAGGTCATTGTCCACTAGCAAGGCTGCGCCGGAAGTCGCGCGAGGGGGGCGGGAAGCAAAGACGCCCTGAAAACCTAAGTAGCGACTTTTGCAAGAAGCTCCATGCTGAATCCCGATGATGGCGGGAGTAGCGTCTGAAGACCATCCTAGCGCTCCAAGGACCTGGAAGCCGCGGCTATATCGATATCTCTACAAGTATCGATATCTCTATCTCAATCTATATCTATATGAACGGTTGTATTAGATGGGCATTATATGTATATAGATACATCGACAGATTGACAAGAGGCATTGACTCATGGTTTGAGATTGGGGAGCATCTAGGCCGCTGGCCGCAAGCCGTAAGAGATGCCGAAGACTGTGCTATAGTTGCAAATCGGCATGTTATCACAAGACATGCTTGTTCGAAATATTAGCAAACTTGTGCTGTTGATTCGGGTCAAGCTGATGCTAAAGCAAACTAAATTATGCATTCCAGCTGCGCAAGGTTCCCCCAACATGCTAACTGTGCGGTTAGGGCATCTCGAGTCGATGGGTTCAGAGCGCTGTGTTTCTAAGCATGGAAATCGCGAGTTCTGGAATCCTCCGATGCATTCGTACCTGTACTATAGGTAGTTTCAAGATTGAGCTGAGGTCCGGTGGAGAGCTAACCCTGTCCATGTCCTCCAAGGGACATGCTGGCATTTCGGGGTTGTACTTTGGAGTCTCTGAGTGAGCGCCCTAAGGGCACCACTTTGGGATGCAACATCAGCGCACGAGCTGGGTCAAGCGATGTTTGTTCGAATGGGAACCGAAGGGATTGTTAAAGAGGCTTATGACTCGACAAGGCGAATGCCTCGCCGAGTGCTCTGTTTGGAGAGCGTCGTCCCAGCGACAAAACAGGGACAAAAAGCGCAAAGTCTGGCTTTCCGGGTAGAGGTTTGGTTTTCGAGGTTCCGGTAGTCCTACTGTGGCCCACAAGCTTCAACACAACACTTGCGACAAGTTCAAGATCGAAAGATCGAACTTACTTACACGTATGTCTGGAGCCCAGGCTACCACTGCCAAGTTTAGAAGGATGGTGTGCTGTAGCTCTCTGCGTCAATGGCAAGACACAGTGGTGGCACTACACGCTAGCCTGCGAATGTCGCATGAGCCACTATCAACATGCGCTCAAGGCGTCCCGTGACCAGCACAACACGAGGCTTAGCTGTTGAGGCAATGGTAGTCTTCTCACACATCGAGATGTTGCTTGCAATACGGTTGGAAGTACAGCATCTGAGGGTCAAGTAGGCACTGGAGATTTTCATGCTCCCGCTGCCAAGGTGAGCCTTGCACTGACAAGTTGCATGCTCACCATTGCTGCAGCCGCTTCAAAGACCTCTCCCGCCACCTTCGCTTCGCAACACTTCCCACCGTCATCATGGCTCCCATGAAGGCAATGAAGGCGATGAAGGCACTTTGGCTTGCGATCAGCTCACACTTCCTTCGACTC